TAAACACAATAGATGTTGAACTGAAAAGAAGCTAGAAAAAAAAATCGCAGGAATTGTTTGGGATTTTCATAAAAACTAAGCACTGAAATTTTTTTTACCTGAATTTAAAAGTTTCAAACACAGCGCTGAATAGTGGTGTTTCAAATTTCTCTAGTAAGTCCTCCAGATTGTAGTCGTTTAGGTACCTTTTTTCTCATCCGCCTGTTTATAATGTTTTCGAGTGGAACTACTGGTATACCTAAAGCGATGGTTCATACTGTAGGGGTGAGTTTTTTCTCAAAAGTTACTTCTAAACGTGAAATATCACTCGTCCTGTTCACGTTGAGTTAACCTCTTGCATACGCACACTTTACTAGGAATGCCGTCGCATTTACGCTCATAAATTTCATTTTAAGGGTACCTTGCTGAAGCATGTGGAGGAACATTTGATCCAGGGAAACAGTCGTTCGTGCGACCGTATAATGTTTTACACAACATGTGGTTGGATGATGTGGAACTGGTATGCGTGCTTTTGTGGATGATTATTATATCTCGAGATTAGTTTCGCTTCGTGGTAGAGTCGTTTTTCTATGAATCTCTCCTTGTTGAGCCAGTGTATCATGGTATTTTGACAAAATTATGGGTTGGAAATAAAACAACTGTAGTCCAATTTATTTGAGGTTAATAAAATTATCACGTTTAAGGAGAAATGGCACTGATCTTCTTTTTTGAAGGTTGATGTCGTTCATTTACTGTGGCGGATCTATTGTTCTGTTTGATGAAAGCCCACTGGAGCCTGATCCTCACATTCTTATTAAGGTTCGTTCAATATCTTACCTGGCGTCTCGCAAGTACAGTTGGGCTGGCGTCAGAGTTTGAGACCCGAGTTCGCGACCCGTCGGGCGACAGATCGAGAACTTTGACACCAGCCTTACTACCAGCAAAGACCGACCATTTGCAATGTGGTGTACACCGTTGCGCACATACCCACAATCTGTTTAACTATTTTCTGAACGGAGTAAGGCTTTTGTCTGAATCTGAATATTGCTACATGCAACGCTTCAACTGGGTACATATTTCGGGCGAGTTGACAGACGTTCTACGGCAGAGAGTGGTTGAGTTCTTATGCCTGAATCGTGCTCCATTGTTGAATGGTGGACTTCTTTTTATATCGAATGATTGCATGTTTGGGGGTCAAGTTACCTTCGAAGAACGGCTCCCAGCAGAAGCTGATATCTACCTGATTTCGACAAAGGAGCAGTCAACAATCCGGGCAGGTTCACGTAGGAGTGAATCGAGAACAATCTGGCGAAAGCACTGCTTTCTGTTCCGTTGCAAGGCCATGCAAACATTTCCATTATATGGAAACCTGAGCCAAACAACTTTTCTCCTTTCTAGAATCATGACTTAAGGTGTCGTCCAAGGCGTCGAAGTCCTATTTGCTTTAATTCACGTTATTGCCTCAGAAATCTCGAGGAGAGCTCGGCTCAGGTTTGGGATGGTTGGGGGATAGGCCAAGAAGTACAAAACACTCGCTATGGCGAGAACTTCACCCACTGTGCAGAACACGCTTCGAAACGGGTTGTGTAGAGAGCGGAAATTTCTACCCACTTTCATGGCTTCATGGCTGTCCAGGCGATTAATGTTGATACGCGGTTGCGAGGGTCACTTTTCTGGGAAACGCCGCTTGGTGGGTTTTAAAGGTGTTTACCGAACGGGTGATCGCTTTTGAAAAACTCACTCTTATAAGAAGGCTAAGCAGAAAGAAGTTGTGGAGATGAACAATGTCTACGGAGTGCAGAGCATACTTGAAATGAGGCGGAGAACCGCCTATAGTGGGCGGAGCGCGTACTTAAGTGGGCGGGATTCTCTGAATGTTTTCATAACTCGGCTCCCACTGTTCTAATTCAATATCGCTCCAAATTAGAATAGAGATTTCCACTCATGGAAGATACTCTACTTTGTATGTGAGGTCATTCAAGGGCCATCAAAAAATTCACGCTCGTCGTGTTACTTTGAACTAGAAACAGGTATAAGAACGCTAGGGATCTGTCTGTGCAGAACGCAATGCTTTTGTGGAATCGGTCACATAGGGGGAAAACTGCAGTTTACCGTAGACTACTCTTGGTCACTGTTCTATTTTAGGTAGCGTCGACAACGAAGTCCACAATCATCGGAATGGGTGCAAAGTTATATGATGAGTATTTGAAAATGAATGTTGACTTCAGTACGTCAATTTCTATTTTTTTTAAAATATATATCCCTAGGGAGTCAAAGATAAATACCTTGGTTGGGCTATACTGTTGCCATGGGGATATGGTTCGTTAGGACGGGAAGCGACTTTTGCACTTTTCGCAGTGCGAGACTTTTTTGTACGAGAATCCCTTGCTGATCAGTGGTGGACCTGGAGTTCCCAGTGCGAAATAAGCTTCGCGCTGCAAAAGCGGAAAGGTCGCTTTCTGTCCTAGCGAACCACACCCTTGGCATGGTGTATAGTCACGGGTTGAGGAAATACGTAGTTGTACATAGGGCTGCTGATCTACTCGCAGAACTGGCTTTAGACATTTCCATGGTATCTTATAGGCTATGTGTTTTCACGATAAGTCAGGGTATTGTTTGGTTAATAAAACTACTCAACAAGCTGTGAGAGTGGTAGGGGGTGCTAGTTATGTTGCTTCTGCCTGAGTGTGCGATGTATGTGTGGGGAGTTGCATCAATCTCGGCCGATTATGCGTTTTTGAGCATATGTTCCGGTTAGCTAATGCAGAGAATATGAACGAACCTGTGTTAACGACCTATTTCTGACACTTCTGATATTAGGAAGTGAATCCTCTCACAGTGCATTGAGAAGATCAGACTTTCGAGCAAGAGGGCGGGGTTGCGACGAAATTTTAACTTAGTTACGAGATTGTCCAGAAACCGGGAAAAAAGTGGATAGAGGCTAGCAAAGAAGGAGAGGTCAAGTGCTACAAGTGTGAGACGTACACCAAAGTAGGTGAGGATTGCGACGAAACCATAACCCGGTTCAGAAGCAGTCCACGGATCGGAGAAAGAAAGTGGTATAGGCTAGTGAAGAGGGAGAGCTAAAGTGCCTGCTACTGGTGAGTAACGCGTGCAGCACCGAGGTGGGCGGAGGAAAACTCAAAATCCATAAAATAGAAAAAATGCCTGGACGAAATCTCATTGTGTGAGGAGTATGCACAATGTGGACGGGCTTAGATGAGTTGTTTTAGTCGTGTTCGCTGAACGCTATAACGCCTACACGTTAGTGTGCGCAGTCAACGAAACAGCTTTGAGATCGAGCCGCAACTCAGTCCAAGACTTCTAGTAAAGTTCTTATCTAAGTGGTATTGTGTGGACTCTTCCTAAATTCTACGATGTACATGTCTCATGGCAGTTAATCATTTCGATGAAAATTTGAATTACAGAATCGCTCTACGATCTGAAATGTATTCGCTTGGTCTATTCTACTGGCTCTCCTTTGAAGGCTGCTGCATTCGAATTTATCAACAGCAGCATCAGTCCTGGGGTGGGTTTGCGATCATGATACCATTATTTACAGCTTACTAAATAGATAAATAGGCAGCCCATTGTTAAACGAGGTGGCGCTGTTAATGGTGCAGGTATAAAAAACCAATGAGAAATGGCTAAGAAGCCGAGATATAGGACTCTTTACCTGCGCATTGTTTCCGGCTGGCGAACTCTCAGCCGATTGCTGTCCCCCCCTCTTCGACACTGATGCTTTCTTGGTTAATGTCTAGAGTGGACCGCGAGAGGGTGGGCAGGCAGCGGCGCGAGCAGCGCAAGTATGGCTGGCTGAGTATTATTCGCTGCGTAACGCCCATCGTCCCGCACCCCTAAGAGGTTCGCCTGCTTCCAGAATTCAGTACATTTTCCCTTCTGTGACCTCCGATCTTATCGTGGAATCATCTTTAGACCGCTGGAAGAGACAGCTAGATTGCTGCGGACTCAGGCTCATCATCAACATTACCTACATGTGCGTCACGGCCACAGCGTCTTCAATTGTAGATGGGATAACCCTCCCAAGAACGGAATTCCTTGGTCCGCCGGGTCTTCAGCCTTGGCCTGGCCGGCTAGTACACCTCAACGCCAAATGGACACCACAGAGGATTATGGCACTGGGCAGCTGGCGGCAAGAAAATGCGTTCTGAAATCTAGTCTATACAGTCGGTATCTCGAACTCTGATTGGGCGTGTCACCGGAAATGACGTGGCAGCCATCGCACTTGCTAGATGCCACGTGGATAAGATACTCCGCCAGATATCAGCGAAGCATGCTGGAAGCAGCTTATCCGCGCAATTTCTATCAAGTGCGGTGGCTGCCACGTCATTTCCGGTGACACGCCCAATCAGACTTCGAGATTTGGAGTGTACTCCGTTCGGATCATTGTGGAGCAGCAATGAAACAGGTGACGTCAAAACGAAACCAATGGGTCTGTGATGGATGTTTCGCGATGGAGGCTAGGAAATTGACGCGCACTTGAGAAAAAATGCCGTTAAATTGTCACATTTCCGAAGACCCCTTTGATGCTGTGCCAAGTCAGCTGGTAATATCACCGTTCACTGTCGGCACTTGGTCTTACGGTATCTGCTGGACTATTCCTAATCAGTTATGAGTTGTGAAGGTTCTCTGAGCTATGCTTCCCTTATAGACATTGCACCTTAGCCCTTTCTCATCTGTACTGTTTTTCTGACCTTCGATATTGCCTTAGACTGAGTTGCAAAATTTCCGTGTGTTGTTGCCTCATCTAGTCAGGGAGTGCTTTCCAATCCTTATAGAACTTTGAGTGGAAGATCTGGGTTCCGGGGGAGCACACCTTACCAGGATGGGATCACTTCTTACTCGGAGAAGCATACCTTATGGCCGTAAATCGATACAGTTCACAATGTTGGTCGCAAATATGGAGAAAACTATCCAAGCAAGTCGTGAGCGATCACATTTGGCAGAACAGCCTCCGTTCACGAGGCAAGACCATCTGCATGCATCATTTTGATTCTCGCCCTGGAACTTCTTTGCTGGGAAGGCAGAAGTCGGCCACTGACGCCATTATCCTCAAATCTTTTTTTTTGCTGTATTTCGTGCCAATTTTGACCGCTCACACGTTGCGTGGAAGCTCACTTAGCAGCTTCGGTCTCTGCAATTGTGACTAGTATTCTTGACCACTATCAATTTAAGTAGGTCAACATCCAAAGTCCCATGAAAAGTTGAAAGCCTTCCTTAGTAAACCACGCTCAGTTCATCGCGGGCACTTCTCATCCAAAAGCGCCGCTCTGATTTTCCCTCATTGATTTTCTGTTTTTTGAAGTGTTTCTGGAACCGATCAAGGATTTCGAACTCTCATTACCATACCTTCCCACGAACTCCTTGCCTGAACTGGGCAGAGCACAGTTTATGCGTTTTTTTGCAACTTGGCCCACCTGTCTTGGACATGACCCTGCTTAGCCAGGTGATTCTCCAAATGGACCTATATGGTATGAATAATCATTTAGGTGCCCCTGTGATCATCTGCCTCGATTTCCATTTTGCTCAACTGCTTCCATTGGCACTTGTTGCAAGAGTGAGCCATGTAAGCCGTACCAGGCCTTTAATTGGTTTTGAATGCCTAAAGTCTAGTCTCTTGACATTATCCTCCTGCTTAGGGATTTCCAAACTTACTCCATATGAAAAATCATCTTTACGATTTTGATAGCTTGCGGCTTGCGCTTTACTTGGTCGAACTGTCAGGAGTTGCCGGCTGGCTTCATCTAGAGACGAATGAAGGAGTCAAGTTTTAATGGCCCCATTCACTTACTTGCCGTCTTTGCCACCATCCTCTATCATTCGGCCAGTTTCATCTTCCTTCTTCTGCACGCATTCACAGCGTTGCGTGATTTTGATCGTTCGTTTTCCCAACCTTCTTCCCGCTAAGGAAGTAAGGAATTTCGTGAAGAAAAAAAAAAAGAAAAAAAAAAACAGACAGACGACTGATCCTACTAACTATAATGGCCGATGTCAGACTTTGCGATTGGAGCGATTTTGCACCAATTGCAGGAGCGACGGGAGATTTACGAACTGATGGCGCCGAATTATCGGTGGTCGGCGGTGTAAATCTCCCGTCGCTCCTGCAATTGGTGCAAAATCGCTCCAATCGCAAAGTCTGACATCGGCCAATCCGCTTCGTCTGTCTGACACAGTGTCTGTCACGAAATTCCCTACTACCTGGAGATCAGCTTAGAGTGACTCAATCAAGTATGCGATGGGTGAGCCATGTCTCTAGAAGTGCAAGAACATGCTGAAGTGCATCAGCTTATTGGAGTCCCCGCCCACAGTGGGCGTGGTGTGCATTGGAATGAAAGGCCCTGGCGTCAAAAATTCAAAATTTGGTTCCAAAACAGCCGATGGACCGGAGAAAATGCCTAACGGCGTGCATCAAAGCCAGATCGAATTACGGAGTTCTAATCCCGATGGGCAGAGTGTTCTCTAGGAAAAGCGGTGCTCGATGAAAAAATTCATAACTCGGTTGGGAGAAAGCCTACAGAGCAGAAATAAATTGTTGCAGGGAGCCAATGTCTAAGGTGTTTCCAGCATACATGATGTGAACGGAGGCCCGCCCACAATGGGCGGAGCGTGTCCTGAAGTAGACAGCGTTTTCTACAAGAGCTCATAAATCGGCTCCGAGATGACTTAGAGACCGGAAAACAGTGGATAGAGGTCAGGAGGGAGGGGAAGCTAAATGTTAATACTGGGCGTGGTGTACATCGGAGTGGGCGGAGGCTTGTTCTCTATAATTGTCACCTGCTCAGTTTATTAAGTAATAAAGGGATGTCAGAGTTTGCATAAAATTTGGCTTCAAATCACTTTCAAAAGTGCATGAAATGCTCATTCATTCCTCTTTTCAAATTTTTGTTTACTTGTTTCTCATCCACTTCAAACTTCTTACAACGATTTCATGATTTCAGGCTATCATCGGCTCTATCTCTGGCGGCACTGACATCATTGGCTGCTTTATGGGGTGCTCTCTATCCCTACCAGTACATCCTGGGGAATGCCAATGTCTGTACTTGGGAATGGACGTCAAAGCCTTCGACCACAGTGGTAGGTGCTTGAACGGAGGTGATGAGAAATATGAAGCGGAATTATTGAGTTCACAGAGATAGTGTAACATCATGCCAGTGTTTCCCACATATTCCACGAGAAGTTCTTGCCCAAAAAGAAGCCGAGTCCCTCCGATGTTGGACGTTAGCATGGTTTAGTTAATGCACTGATTGCACTTCGCTCTTCTTAACTTCAGATTACTTTCATTCACATTCTCACAGGAGTGCTCAGTAATGGGAGAATGATTCCGTCTTCTGGCGCTCGAACCCGAGTCTTGTGTTGTTTAGGCAGCTCTGCTAATCGTTATCTTCCATAACTACATTACTTTTCCTGGCTTTGCATGTCATACAACAGACTGACTGTGACCATTAAACCTTGGGTGCCATTTACAGGTGCCCGACGCATTTTTCTCAAGTTGGACACACTTCTCAGATTGGCCAATTTCATCTTCAGGGGTGATTTGGTTCGCTGCACGCGTGTACTGCATTTGTGAAACGAAAGGTCTACGAATGTGGATGTATCTCTCATGTTGGAGGTGCTCGCAAACCCTCTTTAGTTGCTAAAAGACTTTCCTTTTACCTTATTTGATCTGAGTTAATAACCACTTTGCTCACTAAAACATGATGCTTCAACTGACGATTCAGCGGCATATTTTAATCGATCAAAAAACTTCGTAATAGCCATCCACACGAGTATTATCGAAACAATCCGCCACAAGAAGAGTTAGGACCATGTTCTTATGGCGTAAGTTCGGCCGATATGTGTTCTCCGGATTATGTTAATATAATTCGCCGGATGGCCTAAGCATGATAGAATCGTGATACCTTGAAAACGTGGTACTGAACCATATGCAGCACGTGACCGTATAGAGCTAATCAGAGCTCAGACAAAGCCTCCCTTCATCTGCATTAGGCTAGTGTCAGAGTCCGCGACCCGCCGCAGGTTTCGCTGATTTGCGCGATTCACGCGACGGGTCACGGAAATCACAAGTGCCCGATCAATACTGCAAGGTGTTCTCCAATCCTGCCGCCACTTTCTGCTTGATAGTGATGGCTGAATGACGACTGCTCATGATTCCACTTGTTTCATATTCAGTGTTTCAAATGTTCAAATGGGGCACTTGCAATTTTTGCGATCGTCGCAGGTTTCGCGCAAATCGCGAAAATCGCGAAAATCAGCGAAAACCTGCGA